TTATAGTACAGGCAGATAGTTCAGGGCAGACAAATATTTCCAGACTGACAGACAGTTCAAGGCAGACAGACAGTTCAAATACGAACTCCCGGTTGATTCAGGACAGACAGAAGATTCAATCACAACCTCCGTGGTCGTGACGGGACAGACAGATGGTGATGGCGGGAGAAGACAAGGCATATCCTCTGAGCACAACCTCAGCTCACCCCTAGCGGTGGGCGGGGCAATCCTCCGTGCCCTGGCTCCCTACTGACACGCCCACCATCGCGTGTCTAACAGTCAGCACGCACACCTGGACTGACGTCGATTGAGGCTCTGGCTCTGAGGCGATCCTCAGCTCTGTCGTTCTCGTCGGTCGCAGCGGGCTCTGGCTCTCCGTCAGCAGTGGGCTCATACTGTAGCTCCGTGAAGCAGGGTGGTGGTAGGCTGGGCTCTGGGTCAACCATAATAACACAAAAGAAAAACTTTACAAACAAAATGCAGGGAAACACGCCGCATTACTTTCACTTCTAGGTCCGGTCTTCTTTCACACTACAGTGGAATGAAAAGCACAAGGAAGATGATAAGTAATGCAAACTGTCTTTAATAAATCCACACACAAGGGTAAATCCAGGACAGAACAGGCAGGAGCACACGTAGGGATGTAGTAGACCGGACAAACATAGACTGCACAGACTAGGACTTAAATACATGGGATGACGAGGACAATTAATAAGACACACCTGAACCAAATGACACAATCAAACATGAGGGAAAACTAGGTCCCGGATGCACATGAGGGATGAAAACACAACAAAAACAGTCCAGGGGTGTGACAATATGTTTATCACTTTTTTGCCAAGCTTAAAGGGATAGTTCACCCAAAAATGAAAATTCTGTCAATAATTACTCATCCTCATGACATTCTAAATGCGTAAGACCTTATTTAGATATTAAATTAAGATTATTCAATCTGAGAGCTTTCTGACCCTGCATAGACAGCAACGCAACTGACATGTTCAAGGCCCAGAAAGGTAGCAAGGACATTGTTAAAATAGTCCATGTAATTTTACAAAGCAGGTATTTCCTTGCTCACAAAAAGTATTCTCGTAGCTTCGTAAAATTACGGTTGAACCCCTGATGTCACATGGACTATTTTAACAATGTCCTTACTACCTTTCTGGGCCTTGAACATGGTAGTTGCATTGCTGTCTATGGAGAGTCAGAGAGTTCTCGTATTTCATTCAAAATATCTTAATTTTTGTTCTGAAGATGAATGAAGGTCTTACAACGACATGAGTGTGAGTAATTAATGACAGAATTTGTATTTTTAAGTAAACTATCCCTTTAAATTTAAACCAAATTCTGCCATTTTCTCCTTCAAATAAGCTTAGAAAATATCTGTTGATTTCACTGTATATAATAACAGCTTTTATAGTAAATAACCCTCTAAAATGTGCTGTATATACTATGGAATTGATGTAATTGGATATGAATGATCAAGATTATTGTTTTCAAGCTACTCAATGTAATTCGATCTCTCTCTCAGTGGAGACCCTATGTTGGACGCTGATGGCGATTTCGATCTGGACGACACCATGGATGTAGCGAGGCATGTAGAGGAACTGCTCCGTCGACCAATGGAGGGCCAGTGGAGCGGCCAGCAGTCATGACCTCTTGACCTGTGACTTCTCTCCCTAAACAATGTTTTTTTTTTTAAATACATATTTCTCCTTCTACTCTTAGTGTATTTTCCCCATTTGTTTCTCAGTGTGGGTCTTCTCGACTTCTTTTTCTCCATCATCACACCTCTTTCTCTTTCCCCCATCCCTTGTTTCTGTAGAAGAGAAAGGAGCTAATGGAAGAAGAAAAAAATACTATGAGCCTTCCTCTAATTAAATACCACCAAACAGTATTGTAGAATAAAAGAGAGCGAGAGATGCATGTTATCTATTTTCATTTGTGCGTGAGGTGTTTTCTTTTCTTTTTTTTTTATGACTTTTCACAGAACGAATCTGTGAAACCCTTAAGCTGAGATGTACTACTGTAAGGAACATTTTTATGTTTTTCAAACTGCTTTATAGTTGTCATTTTATTTCCAGGGTGTTCAGATATCTACTGCATCTGAAGTAAATGCATATTATCCTTTGCACTCTTAAACGAATGCTTTCTTGCAGATTATGACATTATTGTTACCATATGGCGATTGCAACGTAACGCTTCTGTACACTAAAGAGTGTTTAGGTTGCAGGGCTGTTAACATTCGGTGCAGCTACATCTACGTCTGTGTTTAATCTGAACCATGAACACAAGTTACATTCGCATCCAAACCAGCAGCACACGACCTGTCACTCACATCACCGAGACTGAGGCATACATGAGAAACACACATGCGCCCGCTCGCATCCGTCCCGTGTAAAGCGATGGAAACACATGGGGTAGAGAGAGGTCCACTGAGCGTCTGGGCTCACGCTACACTACACAGGCCATCTCTCGCTCTCTGTCTGTCTCTCTCCAGTGCAACAGGTGATGACCTCATCTGTTCTCACGCTTTCCTCTCGGAACAAAACAAGAGCACCCGTCATCATGGTTACACATGCTGCTCCTCGTATTCTCTTAACTGGCCATCCTATAGGTTCGCATTACTGCATGTTACCGACCTGCATCTTTGTTTCTCTCGTACTCTGCATACTCTGCCTTGGCCACTCAGGACATTGACGTACAGTTCATGTAAAATACAAATAATAGTAATAATAAAATATAAATAAAAATGACACAATTAAAAGAAAGTACCTATATCCAATATATATGAAATGTATTTTTTGTTAACATATTTCTATTTTATTACTGTTTGGCGCTAGATGGCTCCGGCCCAAAATGGCATTTTACTGTGTCTGATTGTTGGTAGAAGCCCTGATGTAGTGATCTGAAATCAGTACTCAAACGGCACAAAGGGTTCGGTCGCTGCCACCTCTGTAGTTTCACTTCAGATTTCAGCTGAGCTTTCGCATGGAAGAAAAAGCCAAACAGTGAAGTTAGCATGAAGAGACGTTTCCTGTGTGCTTACTGTATGCATAACCTGCAAACCTGACTAATGATGCCCATTTTTAGATGCCTGTATTAATTTTTAAAGGATGGTTTGTTCCTCACAGTGGATGTTGATTTATTTTCCTCTCTCTATTTTTCTGTCGTGGCAGAGACACATAGGAAGTTGTGATTTTTTTTTTTCATCTTTTTTATTGTCTTTGTTTTCAAACTGATCTATCATGTTGTTGTTTAGACTGTTTCTCACTGTAGGTGTCAAGGTGTGTGTGTGCGTTGGCATGTTCAGCTCTGCTCTGTTTTGTGTTCGTCCCATGTTTGTAGTTTGGCAGTAGAGAAGAAAAATTTAATTGACAATAAAGTTTTTTTTTTAATAATCTGGATTCCAGCACAACTGGTCTGAGCACTTTGTCTTTGCTGTGAGAATGGAGTGAACGTGGGTTTATAATTTGGTGTGATTTCCTTTAGCAGTTTGTGCACCTTGACATTTTAAAATTACAAACCATTTGTAGTCTTTCTATCCGGTCCTTTGTAAATAGTTTCTGAATAAGTCACTGAGAGCAAAGTCATTGTGCTCTTCGCAACCACTCTTCCTAACAGCATGTATCTGAGGAAACTCGAGAGTTTCTTTTTCTTCATAAACTAAAAACAGACAGTTCCCTTTATGGGCTTCAGTTGTTGGACTCTTCAAGCTGTGAATTAGTTTTCAGCTAGAATGGAAGAAATTATTCAACACAATTCAAGGGACCAAATGTAAAAGTTAAAATCTGTCAGTGAAAACATCATATTGATTGACTTCAAATCTATAAAGACATTACAACCCTGGTTTTCAAAACTGTTTTCCTGATTTTGAAGGTGAAATGTTCCCCATTTCCATAGTGGTGTGTAGTATCATGATGGCACATCAGAGCCACACTGCAAGAATGGATGCAGAGTGTTAACATGAATCAACATGCAACAACCGCACTGTCATTTTTGCAAAATCTGAGTCATTCTCTCACACTTTCAGCATTAAAATCATGTGTATGTAGAGAGAAAAACATAAACAATAAAACAAATTATAATCTGTTTTTGACATAAATCTCACAAAGTTTGTCTCAGCTAGGTCTTGGGAAGAGTTGGGGCTTTAGTAGGTTACGACCACAAGTTATTCTTTTTTTTCTTCTTCATACAAATAGGTTTCAAAGTGGTTTACAAACGTTTCAATAAATGGAGCGTAGCGTTAGTTCCTGCAGGTCACGTTAGTGAAGCTCGCATCAGCTGACACTCAGCTGATCCACGTCTACCTATATAGGAATACGACGCCAATCATAATTCCCTTTATAAGGTCCTTTCAGTCATTATTCAGCAGCTATCGCTTTGCTCAGGAGCTAATCACCCACCTCCATCCCCAACTCCTCCTCTCGTCCAGTCAGGACTTGGCATTGGATATTTCTTCTTGAGTCAGACCACTGAATTATGTTGATATATAAAATAATCACTTAGAACATTGATGATATCTGCTACATTAACCATTAATGTTAGTTCTGTTCAGTTTACCCTAGGGGGGTTATTTATGCTCTCCCTGCTCCTATCCATGCTAGGCTGCATGGATAGGCAGGGAGTGTTGCCCAGAACAGAACCGTATGTTTCTAACCCCAACCTAAAATGTATGCTAATTGTAAGTTATCTTTGACGATAGTGGTCCTGACAGAATAATAAGTTAGATTAAATATTAGTGTGAATGTATAGAATGTAAAATCGCGTTCCGGGATCATGTTGTTCCCTATGTAATTCACAACATCTCTCACAAAAACATTTGTGTTTCCGACGACAACTTAAAATGAAGCAAACTTGCCCCCTCTTCTGGCCGAAATGGGTGAATGCCAGTCCGATGAGAAGCCGCACCAGCAGCGAGAGAACGAATCAATTGACTTAAATTGACGTATAGGCTCAACCATCATTCCTCTCAGGAAAATGGTTATCCTTTCATACATGATTTATAAAAAAAACAATTTACTGAAATGTACCGCCAGGCAGGAGCACATGTTTTATGTCTCTAATTGCAAAGAGAATATTGCTTGAGGAAAGAGCTCATCTGTTGCTTGGAGACAGAAACCTGTGCTTAATAGAGCCATATATAGAAAAACAGTATGCCAGGTAGCTATGCACTGACAAAAGATGAACCATAAGATAGATCAGAGTCCGCTGATCAGCAGGCCTATTGAGAATCAAATAAATTCAGTGACTCGCAACTTTGCAGGACATTCTGAAACAATCAGTGTCACTAAACCTAAACACATTTTGTATTTATTATCTGCGTTAAAAATAGCACCTTGTATAGCCTACGCTATCTTTATGATTTTAGCCTAAATAATCTGAACTGATTAGACTCATATTGATTTGATAGCTAAATGGGCTATAAATTGCATACAGACTAACCTAATAACTCTAAAAGAAAACAACTTGCATTAGCAGAATTTAAAAGGCATAATTTAGGCTACTTAATTTATTAATCGTATTTTTAAATTAGCATAGTTTCCATTTGGGAGGACGATTTTGTTAGTGGCTGTAAAAGCCAGTTAGTGGCTTTTTTTTTCTTTTTTTTTGGAGGGAAAACAGCAGTAGGCCTAGCCTATCTTATCAATATTAGTAGGTAACCTAAATATTAGAAGTAGATTCTCTGAAATCAAATGTGATGTTCAAATGCACACCCTTCATGTCAACTCTCAATCCCTCTTTACTCAGTGGCGAACTTTAGCTCTTTATTTGCATGCTGGCATGTTCAGTCCTGTTCAATTTCTTGTCACAGAGTAGGTAAATAATCAAATTAAAATATGTTTTTTAAATAAATATTTACTATAAAAGCTGTTATTATATACAGTGATATGTCTGAGCTTGACTACAGTCTGCTGCGCGCTTTATTATAAATACTTAATTTACAACACAAGCATATTTATTTTTGAGAAACTGTATGCTTAGAGAAGGATAATGCATAGCAGGAATTACCATAACAGTTTTTTTCCGAAATATTTAATTTTTTATATACTGTCCGTCTGCCTCTAGTCACCGAGATTAAGTCATTGTTTTTTTCACCACCAGATGTCGCTAAAACACAACTTGTGAGTGAACTGATAAGGTTGGTCAATTTCAGCTGTCGGTTTTGTTTTCACTGTAGCAGTTCAGAGTCTCTTCTCTACTAGCAGTGCACTGATGAGTTATTTTTCCTCAGTTTTGCAATGGCAGATCAGGGAGAATTTCAGAGTTGCTTTCGATTCCTCATTCTGTGATCAGACACTGACAGGAAATAATACTATTTTCTCTCTCTCTCTCACACACACACACACACACACACACACACACACACACACACACACACACACACCTGACTTTCTTTGACACTTTTGCTTTTCAGTAGTACAGTTCTTAGATTTGATCAATTAAAATACTGCAAGAAAACAGTTTTAAAATAAATGTACAGATTGTAATTTTTGACCTCTACCTTAATCTCGAAATAACTGTTCACTTTAAAATGAATATTACATTTTTAAAAACTATTATTAATATTATAGGCTAGTTATGTTGCGCATTTACACTTAAATGACTTAAATGAAATTTGAGTGTAGTTCACTATTAAAAATAAAGGTGCTTCATGATGCCATAGAAGAACCTTTTTGTCTAAATGGTTCCATAAAGAACCTTTAACATCTGAGGAACCTTTCTGTTTGACAAAAGGTTCTTTGTGGCGAAAGAGGGTTCTTCAGATCATAAAAAAGTAAGAAAGAGATGGTTCTTTGACTGAATGGTTCTTCTATGGCATCGCTGTGAAGAACCTTTTAAGCACCTTTATTTTTTTAAGAGTGTTGTAGCCTGTGAAATGGGTTTTTTGAGTGATTTATTTTGTCATATGTAAATGTTTAGTGTTGTGCACAGAGGGTTCAGGGTGGAGTCTGTGCGGAGATGTTTTGCTATGAATCGGTGGAAGATTGAAATATGGCACACTTCCTGTCTCAGGATGTTATTGTGGTAAGAAATTAATAGGCTATATTATTTGCCTAAAGAGAGATCAAAGTGATAATTTTTTTATCACTGTTGTTTCCTATCTGTCTCACTCAAATGAGAACTGGAGCTGAGTGGGCTGTATAGCGCTAAAAAACAATTTACAAAAAAGGGCAACCCTGGTGATAACGGAAAGTGTGGCCATATCAGGTGTACAGTATGACAGCACAGTTCAGCCTTTTGCCTCCTCCTCCATCAAAAACGATCATTTCAGTTGCACAGGGACTTTTATATAAGTTGTTTTAAGAATAACTTCTTTGTGTGATTTGTTCATTTTATTGTTTACATTTGTTAAGAATCATTTAAATTTTAAAACATTTTAAGCAGTAATTGCCCATTACAAATCTATCTGTTTTAGACCTGATTTGGTATCAGTTGCGTGATGAGGCTGTGGATGAGGAATATAGATTTTTAGTTTTCACTTTAAAAAGTGAATATTTGTTGTGTACATCATGCATTTTCCACATTGAAGTTGTGATGGAACACAAATGTGGTGCTATGCATTAGCTGTTTGAACTTACTCCAGATGAACTTAGAGGATGAACGTGACCCGTCTGCTGTTTTCATTGGAAGATCCAGTTGTGGCATTTTGATTAAACATTTTGAGGTCAAAAATGTAAAATAAATGGTTCATTATAAGATCCATAGCATGCATTTAAAAAATAGATAGGATGAGTTTTCATGCCGTCCTCGCTTAATGTGTGTGTACAAATAGTCTGGTGTCACTAAAGCCTGTGCTTTTAACCCAAGATATATCTAGGGTTTTGTTTTGTACTAATAATAGTATGTGCACATGCCAACTACTGACATAATAAAAAAAAAATTATTTTTATCACCTACCCTCTCTACAATTACACAGCTTAGGTATTTATGAATGCAATCTTGGCCTTCTTCTACTTCTAGTTTAATTGTATCCAAACTGACTGTGCAGCAAGGAAATCGCTGCTAATGTGTCAGATGTGTGAGATTTCAAAGGTTTAGACTAAACATTTTCTAAATAAATTGGTAAAAACTGCACTGTTACAATTACCCTGCTCTCGTCCAGTGAGTTTTGATGGATCTCTCGACATGTTCTCTACTCTTTCTAAAGTTATGCTCATAAAGTCCTTCCAGAGAAAACTGTGGCCTGCTGGAGAAAAATCTGAGCTAGGAAATGGTTTCTCTCACTTTTGCCCCATCAGAAATGGGCAGAGGTCTGTCTATATGTCATAAACTTCCTGTTTTTCTCCCTTCATCAACTTTCTTCGGTAGTCTCACACCAAGACAACCACACCATTCAATAAATCACTGCATTTCCAAGAGAACGCCTTACGAATCAGTGCACTGCTCTGCAAGGACGGTTTGGGGTCATGACAAGGCCACTGTCCTCATTCAGAACTAGAGAAAGAAAAAAGTGGATAAAACCAAAGCATTTTTCAGCCTTATTAGAACAAAAGGGCTTCATTGTGAAAGGAAACACCACGTCAAATCCGGGCCAGAAAATAGTTTCTCAGAAATGGATTCCAGGCAGTGTTTGATGGCATCAACTGATTACTTGAGGCAATTCCTCATCCATCACCCCGATGTCTTAGTCTGACAATAAATAAATGATACGCTTGCATCATCTTCCAAAGCGGGAGAACTCCAAATCTCCTGAATGCTGAAAGCTGATGTCATGTGCCGTACAGGAGTAGGAGTATGTGCCAATGGCGCTCTGGTCAGCTGTTAATGACCTTGTTCTGAATTATATTGCTCTTGTATGGCTTTAATGTCCCGGCTCGGCGTTTGATTGCTGCAGTCTGGAAGTGATGAATCATGCAGTAATGGCTGCTCCGGCAGAGGAGCATATGATTTCTATCATGCCATCACCAGCTAATGTGATTTGGCTTTTCTGGAGGATATAATTGACAGTATAATATTTCCCCTCTTTCTGTCTGTCCTCTTTTTTTTTGTCTGTAAGTACACAGTTGCCTATATGTGCAGAAGTGTGTTGGCTCTGGAATTTTCATTAAATCATTTTATGCATCATAGAAATGCAGAAAGGTTTGTGTGAATGTCAGGTTCAGGGTTAGGGGACAGAGAATATCCTTACCTCTGTGTAAAAACAGCAGATGTCAAATGAAAGTCCACAGTGTTTCAGAATCCTGAGGATGAATCAATATATAATGCATATATGCAAGAATAAATACTGTAAAACAAAAAAAAACAGTGTCACAGAATCTCAGATGTCTGCAATCAAACAATTTCAGTATGAACTCAAGGATTTATCTTCAAATTCACTCAAGACTAAAATATCAGCACTGTAAAAATGCAAGAGTAAAACTTGTTAATTGGTAAACTAAGTTACCTTACCTTACAGTAAAAATTGAAAGATTTAAAGTCTCATTATTTTACTGTAAAACAATGTGAAATTTACACAAACACACACACACACACACACACACACACACACATATATATATAAATAAATACACCTCCCCCTCCCTTACAGAGTTTTAGAAAAAAAAATTAATAAATAGAGAAATTATAGCTGAGATGCCATTAAATCTGAGCTTTGAAAGCACAATACAATTGTCCTGTTAGCCACTGACTTTACAAGGCTCTGATAATTTTACAGTTTTAAAATTATAGTTATACTACCCTTTATGTAGTCCTTTATGTTCCCGTGCAATTAGGCATTTCTTTATAAGCCAAAACATCTCTGGCTGCCTCTTTAAAAGGGGCAATTACTGGATAATTTCATGGTGTAGCCTACTTATGTGTACCCCAGGCTGAGGCATTGTTTGTTTATCACTCTTTTCGAGGCATGCTGGAAGCCTTAGAGCAGCATGTTTATGTAAATCTGCTCGTGTTTATGTCTTTGTGGTTCCGTTTAAGTGAGATGGGATAGTTTGCCATTCAAGTGGCACGACCTGACTCTCTAAATGTGCCTTTAATCCAGTCACAATCATCCTCAGTCATCTTTGATAGGTCACGCGAGAGAGAGATGCTGGAGGGACAGTACCGAAGTGACTGAACGCGTAGTGACAATCCCCCCCATCATTGCTTAGAGGGCGTCTGGCAATCAAGAGACAGAACGAAGCTAATTGGCCCTCATGACCCTGTATTATCTCGGTAGTTACGGACGCCCACCGGCAGACCACGGCGCGAGCGCCATCTGTGCGCTTTATTTTCTCCTAGTGGCGACGAGGGGTGAGAGGGAGGGTGAGAGGGAGGGAGGAGAGGAGAGGGGAGTTTGAATCTCTCCGCCCGCACAATCTATTCACCTCCTCGGCTGGCAGAGAACGTGCGGTTCCTTCTCCGTTCATGGATTTTACTGTTTCACTCGGACGCACGGGACTCCGATGGCTGTTTGTCTCGCCGTGTGCTCTTAAAATCACAGGCGCACTCACTTCAATGGTGAGTTTTTTTGGGTAGCTAACGGCAGAGCGCGCGATGGCAGAGTCGCAGGCTTCTGAATCCGTGGTGGGACCCTTGTACGAGCTCGTCTCCGAGGAGACCACTCTGACCCGGGACGCGGCGGCGGCGGCAGCGGTGCTGAGCATCAGTGATACCTACCAGACATACCTGGACGTGTCGGCGGCTGGACACCCGGGGTATGGGACCGATGGGTTGTACTCTAACGGACGGTACAGGGAGCACAGCAGCCCGAGGACCGGCACCCGGAACCGCGACAGCTCTGCAGAGAGGTGCACCGGCACCGGGAATCCACCTTGCGGTATTATGAAGGTGAGCGAGTGTCATCACTTTGTTATTGACTGAGGACTTCCAGAGCTCTGCAGCGATGCAAAATGTCCATGCAACCGTCCACTGCTCTGCAAACCCAATATGTAGCATTGCTCTACTGTTTCTGTTTCGTGTGTGCTCCCCTGCTCAAAACCAAGATGTATTCTAGATACCTAGGATATCTCATGGACGTCTTGTGCCCAATAAGATCTTGACCAACATTTTTACAGCCATACCTATAGAAATTAATTATCAGATAGCAGTTATGCAGATTTTAGTTTTTTGCATTTTTTTTGCGTAATAAATAATTCTTAGGCTGCAGCAAATAAAACAATATACATTATGAATATTTCCAATTAGTTTGAATTATTATTTGTGCCATTTATATTTATGCAAATTTATATTTATCTAGGAATTATATCTAAGCCTAAAAATCACTTGAAAGGAATGGCTGTGAAAAGTTATACATTTTTTCACAATGAATTTCTCATTTTATTTTGTATTGTTAAACACAACATTTAAATAAGTAAGCTACTTTACTTTTGAGTACTGTTGTTTCCTGTTGAGAAAAGAGTGGCTTAACAATTAGATCCTATTTTAAGGCAGCACTAAATTAAAACAGTAAATACTGGTATACACACACACACACACACACACACATTCATATGAATTAGCCACCAATTTGCCAAAATGTAGAATTAGTGCGTTGATGCTGTGTACATCACTGGCCAGTTTGTGGACATAATCATAGCCATTTAGATTAGAATTGCATCATTTTGTTTGAAGGCAGGGGTACAAATGTACTGTATATCAGTGTAACTGTTTGACCCACGTCCTGGTCACAATCATGGATAATGTGTTTTATTATTTTACTGATGTCTGTTAAAGCACAGGTGACAGTGCAGTGCACTTACCTTAACCACCTCAACGTTTGGATGGAAGGACTGTCAAGTGGTTTTTTAAGTGGAAACGTTATTTGTTTTAGAATACAGAGGGTCTGAACTACACAATTGTTTGAATTTCATTGGATGTTGGTACAAAAGAAAGGCTTTGGGTCAATAAATCTATACGATTGATCAAGTGACATTTGGTACCAGAGTCAACAATAGATGATGAAGTGCTTGAGTTCCCAAAGAACAACCCTGTTAGGCACTTTGACTAATTACTTATCTTGTCTTAAAGCGAGAGATTGTTCTTAGGTTAAAGAAAAGATAGAAGGAGGAAAAGGAAAAGGCCTAGACAGTTTGAGGACAGCTCAAGATACAAAAAAATTACGTCACCTCTTACGTTTTAAAGCAGGGTCTTGTTTTCCTCTGTGTCGTTGTGGGTCAGTGCTGCTGTCTGAGATGAACCAGGAGCCGAATGTCATTGTCATGACATTGGGTTGATTCAATTTGCTTAGCAACTGACACAAAACAGCATGCTACTCTCCCATTCCCTTACTTAAGTGAATTCCTATGTGACTGTGTGGGTGTCTTGGCACCCACGAGAGGACCAGTATGACAGAGAAACGAGCGAAACGCTTAACGTGTCTACATCTGAGCACTCAGAGTAGACTTGGTGTGTATTTGTGGTGATTGTGTAGAAGATTTAGCAGACTGGAAGTAAACAAGCATTCAGTATTTGCACAAGACAACCATTAAAGAGAATCTAAGTGTCATCATATAGGGAATCAACTTTCATATACTTGAATCTCCATTACCCAATTGTTAGAAATCGACTAGCTGTCAGGGGCTTGGTGTGACTGTGCTGTATTGCTCAGAAATGTCACGCAATTCTCTCTGTCAGGCCTATTTCATCCCTCGTTTGCAGATGATTTTCCATCTATGATTATAGGTTGCAGAGAGTGTTTACTTTACAGGTGTCATGAAATACGCTTTCGTGTAGCTTGTTATCTGTTATTGAGATGTTAAAAAGTGACCGTCTAGCTGCAACTCATCCTCAACTAAAACTCTGTTAGTTAAGCTTGCTACAACAGATCCCCCAGTCTAACCAAAGGCTAAACCAGGGCCAAAGCAGTCCAGAGCGCAGAATCTGTCTCGCTTTTCAGCTTTCCTTCTCCTCACCTGTGCTCTATGGAAGCATATAGGTAGCGAAATTCAATTTAAAATGCAAT